CCCCACCACCACCACCACCACCAAAGAAGCAAGAATATTCACTGATTAATATTTTTAGGTCTACCATACGCCTATGGGTCTGCCTCCTTTACCAACTCCACGATATCGTCGTTATCTCAACGGTCATCAAAGCAATTTGGATCGCGCGATTTCGCAGGAAGTTCTGGCTGAAAGACGCCGAATTGACGTAAGTTAAGGATTACACCTTTTTTACACTGATAACTAAAAGTTGTGTGATATTAAATTTCAGTGTTATATTAGGAAGGCGAAAAGATGAATTTGCCATTCTTATTTTAATTTCAGCTTATTAAGTTAAATTGAGATTGACTTAACTTTGATCTAATTTAAGTAAAGATTAATAATATACATTTGTTCTAGTGGCCTTACTATTTTTTTGTCGGAAATAATATTTTAAAAAAGGAGTTATTACCTAATTTCTTGAAATTTCAATTTAAACAAGAATTGCCAAAAAATAAGTCATTGTCATTTGATCCATTACGTTTGTTGAAAATATTCATTTAATAGTGCAAAACTTAAAATTTAAATAAAATTATTTATATTTTTTTACTTTTCTTTTCATTCCAGCGCAAAATGGATGATTTGCTGGCCTATCGACTTCCCGATCCAATGATTTACGATAGCTTGAAGAGTAGTCTTCGCAAAGTTCATGACAAAATGGATATACATCGTTCACTACTAGATCGATATTCAGCAATCGATATGCACGACGGGGGCCTCACTGTGGAAGATAGGATTAATGCCAAATGCCGAGAAGTCAGCGATCGCATGGCGAGATAAATGGAGAGCAATTCAAACTCGCATACTTGATAAGCAAAAAAAGAAAACTTATTTGCCAATTCTTCTCTTTCTTAGCACCCCAAACTCTCTTCATGCTCCTACTCTCTCTCTCTCCCACCCCCCTTCCCCTCCCCCCCCCCCCCACCCCCCNCTCTCCCCCCCCCCCCTTCCCCCCCCCCCCCCCCCAAGCACACATTTGCCTCAATCCCCATTTTCCTAGGCCAATACTATAATGCATGCGATGATGGGCGTTTTGATTATTGAACGATTTCGTATGACCTTGGCAACTTAGTTAGACTGTTTCGCGCCTTTCTGTCTTTTCTTCCTTAGTGGTTCTATCTGCAATAATAATATGAAGAAATTGCATTAATAAGGTGAAATGGCTTTGTTGTGTTTCGGTATTATGCTCAATTTGTGAATGCCAACGACATCTTTTTGATTATTTTTTTAAATAACCTCTCCACTGATAATTTCATTTTTAGCTCGATTCAAGCCCCTTGGTGAGTCTTTTGCAAATTGATTATTTATTTATTTACTGATTTCATGTGTTTGAAGTTGAAATCACATTAATACTTGAAGCAGTCAGCATTCCTATTTGCCTTAATGAATAAACAAGCATATCACAAAACTAGGAGTTGACGATGTATCCAGAATATGCACAATACGTTGCAGATGAGGATATTCCCCGTTCAAGAGGTCCTGGTATGCATACCTCACCTCTTGAGACAGAGATGTACTATAGAAATGCCCTAACAACCACGGTGAATACTCAAAATTAGCTCGGATCATTTCTGCATGCTATGTTGCACTCCTCTGGAGATATGTGTCGAATAAATGTGCATACCGAGAGTAGAACACACACACACACACACTTAATTCGAATACACCAATGTAGTTTAATCCTTCCGAATTCACCTTAACATCGATCTTTGTCATTAATATCTTGCATTATAGGCTTATCGATACTACAGATACTACTAGTTAATAAGATGATTTTCAGCACGTGAGTAACCTATTGATGACACTAGAATTGTATTTAAGCAACAGCATTTAAGTTGCTTCCATTTATGCAAACCGGTAGGCATTGTTGCTGCGTTTCCTTTCTGTTAATGCGCCGTTTTTATCTACACCGATTACTAGCCAAGCAGCAGTTCTTTGTTGCCTTTGTTTGATAATTTGTTGCAAACATGCCTTTGTGTAGCTATTCTCTGCTTATGAGAACCTTTAATTTCTACTACCTCAAAGAATTTAGTTAAGTAAAGTTGGGATTAAAATTTTGGAAGTACTATTATCCCATAAACTGAATCACTACCTGCATGCTCTATGTGTGTTTAGCTAGATTATCCATTAACACTATTAATATTGCCACTTGATTGCTTTCTATGCACAGCTTTGAAACGGCATTAGTTTAGCTTATACCACAGTCAATGGAAGAGTAAGTACCAAATCTACTCCTCTTGCAGGGCTACGGAACACCTCTAGTACAGCCAACTGGAAGCTCCACAGCTGAACTCCGTGGTCGTATTCGTCGTCTTATTTGTCGTACGCGCAAAAACCCACACCATTTTCGTTATCTTCCCTCCTCGTATGCTGAAATTTAATTCTGCTCTCCCACCCCCCACCCCCCACCCTCTCCGCCGCCACCCTAAACTCCACAAATTTCATTTAACAAAATGACGTCACTTAAATGATCTCTTTATTTTGTTTTTTTCTGACTCATTTTTTTCTCGCGCATCTAGGCGTTATTATTATATTTCGAATATTTATTTGAATTTCTGCTTATAACTTGACCCACTTTCTATGAACTCGATTCTTCTTTTCCCTTTAACTAATAGAACTACGAAGAAATGAGATTTTTATGTTCGAGAAAAAAAAGGAGAAAAATTAGCTATTTCTTTTGGATGTCCGATTTCTCAATAAATTTTATCCTATTTTCGATAAGCGTCTTTGTCATAGCTACGTTATAAGAGAAGGTGGAACATTCATCGCAAATCTATAATTTTTGGAGTGGTTCAAATCTGCAAATTTGGGATTACAAGGTGGTGTTTGATTTTGGGCAAAAAAATTCTAGGATATTGAAAATTAAATAAAATTTTAGTCTGGTTCTCCTTCGCATGCTTTTAAAGCATTTTTTGGTAATTCTAGGTTCTACTTAGTTATGTCCAAAAACTGTATGAAGTAGCAATTGAAGGCAATGATAATGATAAATGTTGTTTCTGCTTTTAAAATGATAGATATTAACGATATCACAGCTGACAAAATCACATTGTCTATTTTCTGGTCTTCTGTATACCCATTTCATTGAATGCAAACATTTGGGATGATTCATGCATTTTCCTATTTTAATCTTCCAAAAGTATAATTAAATGGAATAATCTTGGGTTTTTCAAGTATTTTGAAAAATAATATTTTAAAGCACTAATATATGTTTAGAATTTATCGTGCCTTTAGTTGCATCAATGTGCTGCAAATGCAAACGATTCAGTGTCGCTTACCAAAGTCATTTCATTTAATGATAATTTTAGGACATTAGTTAATTTATTTATTTGTATCAAATGGCAGGCTTTACGATAGTTATCAGTGGCCCTTTAGTTGACTTCGGGCTTCACAGAGACGCGAAAAATCAAATCCACTAAAAGTAAGTCATAAATGAAAAGGAGACAGAAAGAGTCAAAGGTAGAGAAAAAGTAAGGTAAGGGGAGTACTGTGAATGTGGGATTAATGGTAGTTTGAGTTCAGAAGTCAACTGCCGGTTTATAGACTTTTTTGGCGTATGAGCATATATAGTCCAGGGTGCGCCACGTGGAGGTAAGTTTATCACATGCACCCCTTATGACATTAATAAATTTGATTATTTCATTAGTCCTAATTCGTTAAGGATGTGCAAGCAGCTAGAAACAGAAGTGGTTTAGTTTGTAAATTTGATATAAACGTTTGATGGTGATAAGGATGACTTTCATCAATATAATGAGTTATAATAATTCCGAGTGTGGGTGTGCGATAGACTTACATTCGCGTGGTGCACCCTGGGCAATATATACTCATACGCCAAAAAGTCAATAAACCGACAGTTGAATTCTCACTTTAAACTACCATAACCCCACTGCATATCATATTCAACCACTTCCACAGTACTCGTCTTAAGTTTTCTCTGTCTTTATGACTGCCTATCTCTATTACATCGATGAATCATTATTCTGTCCCCCCCCCCACTTTCGACTTTTTGTCACTTTGATGTTCCTCCTCCTCTCTATGAATCCTGATGCCACCTAAAGGGCTAATGATAACTATCAAAGCGTCTACCATTTAAAATAAATAAACAATAATCCGGAACTTTGTTCAGATTTGATTGATGTGAAAATTTATATATATATAGGTGCACAAATTCGGACATTTCGACATTACTTTATTTCCTTACAATTCCCATATAACCCCAAAAATATGCAAATTTTTAGATATTTGAATGCATATGTATATATACATATATGTTGGTTGGAGTTTTGATTGGATGTCCATATCGTAAACACGGAATTCACTAAGTACAATCGGGGGGGTGGGGGGTGGGGGNAAACCACCTAATGCCAAAAACCGAAAAAAAACCGAAATATGTCCTCCACTAGCCACCAATCACCGGTGAACGAGTTGTTTTCACACAAAGCTTTAAGCCCACCTAACGGGACCTTTGGCATGTAAATATTGGCCATTTAAATAACTTTGGAAGTAGAATATGCCCCCACTATTTACTACTGAAGGACTATTAACTTCATCGATTGGTTAACTCTTTCGAAATATGTGTGGTGCGTTCAAGTCGGCACACCATTCTGATTGCCCAACATTGGCTGATTATTTTAAACATGCATTGTTATATAGAGTAATTAGCTTGTTAACCTTCGGCAAATAGAAGCCAGTGAAACTATTCCAAAATTGAAAAATTTTAGCCATTTTCCTTTTTATGCCTTAAGAGGGAAAACGCGAATTCAAATGGTAAGGGAGCCAATAAGAAACGGACGTAATGGGTATGGCCTTTCTGTGAATTTGGAAATAAAAACGATGATGGACACTTTGACACCTTCACTTCACTCTCAATGCCTTTTCAATATCATTCCTTTTCGGGCATTTTGCATTCTGCAAACTGATTTCAGTTTCCTAATTACGAAGGCAAAACAGGCATTAGTTTCCTTCAGGCTATTGCGCAAAAGCTACGTATATTTTGCCAACTAATTCGTACGTTGGAATATGCAATGGGGAATAGGGAATTAAACTCATTATTTTGTGCATTACATTTAACTTTTTTCTCTCCATTTTCCTTTATTTGCCAGGCAACTTATTGCACAATTTCTACTTTTGAATATCTTTGTGTATATATATAAAGTTACCTATATTTGGTGCACCCTGGGCAACGTGCACTCATGCGGCAAAAAGTCCATTAACTGACTTCAAACTACCACGACCCCACTGTATGTCATATTCGACCCCTTTCACAGTACTCACTTCACCTTTTTATCTACCTTTGTGTCTATTTGTCGCTTTTACATCTGTGAGTCACTCTTCTGTTCCCCCACTCGACCTTTTATAACTTTGATGTTCCTCCTCTCTGTGAAGCCCGAAATCAACTAAAGGGCTAATGATAACTATCCTAAAGTCTGCCGCTTGATATAAATGCTTTGAGTATCTTTATCATTAATTCATTCCAAAACCCTAAGTTCTATCCATAATGCCAAAATAGTTTCGAATTCAATTGTCTCACGAAGATGGCTTGAAATCTGACGATTTGGACAGATGACATCTTGGCTTCTTGATGACAATCAATCAAACTCTCTTCCTCACCCTCTCCCAAACCTTCAAGCTCAATTGTTATGTGAAAATTAATTTCAATCAACTAATTTGTAAAATGAAAACAGTTTCACGCGTGTGTCAGCTATGAAATTATCTATTTCTAATTCGGAAGTGAAGATTATGAACTTTTAATTTCCCACCTATAATAATTTGTAACATTTGTGGGAATGCCAAAATAACTTGCATATTTGTGCTTACCTAAATGAAATTGCACCTTTACGAATTGGGAATATTTTCCCCCACAGTTCAAATTGGACGTTGTTGCCTAATGCCAACCACAACACCCTGCTCTAGCCCGGTATAAATTCAATTTGCACTATAAAATTGTTTTTATTTACGCAAAAAGATTATTAAATGCATCATATATTTTGGCCTTAATCATTTAATAACAGATTTTAAATCCATGGCATTGGCGTTTTGGTATGGGTTTTATGAATTGGTTTTCAACTAAGTCGTAATTATGGGGTGTGCGATAGACTTACCTCCACGTGATGCACCATGGGCAACGTTTACTCATACGGCAAAAAAGTCTATTAACCGGCAGTTGACTTCTGACTTCAAACTACCATCATCCCACTGTATGTCATATTCGATTACTTCCACAGTACTCACCTCACCTTTTTCACTCTACCTTTGTGTCTGTCTCTTTTACATCTTTGAAACAGTCTTCTGTTCCCCTCCCCCCCTCTCGAATCTTTTTCACTTTGATGTTCCTTCCCCTCTGTGAAGCCTGAAGTCAACTAATAGCCTAATGATAACTGTCAAGACGCCTGCCATTTGATATAAATAAATAAATAAATGTTGTAATTATTAAACGAATAGATAACATATATCACATATTTTCTTCCTACTCGAGGTGAAGCATGTTATTGCCATCATGGATTAAGAGATGTCACCTTTTGACTTCTATTAAAGCTTGGCATTCAAGGCCGCGTTGCGTTTTGGATTGGTTGAGATTTGTTAAACGTCAACATAACTACCCATGAGGGAAGTCAATTTTGGCTTAGTTAAAGGCCATTGAAATGGTAGTACATAGCTTCTTTTGCGTTTGTTATGTGGATATCCACTGGCACTGAACACGTTAAAGATTAGTGCAATCGCATGCAGTCATTTTGGCGGGCAATGGGGGAAAAGATAAACAAACTGAAAAATAGAAAAATAGAAAAATTCCATTTTTATCTCAATTTCAGTTTGTTTGTTTGTTCATTATTTTCGAGTGTATTTTTTTTTGATTTATTAAATTATTACCTTTTAAACTTTTAAATTTGTCCTTTGAAGGTGGTAAGAGTTATCTAAACTAAGAGGTCTTAAAATTTCAAAATAAACTTGTTTATATTTTTCAATTGAGTTTATTAAAGTACTTAACGTGTTAACCGTGACCCTTGAAGTCGAAACTTTCAAGTGTGTAAATAAGATAGCAGTGTTTTGCAGATTGTACTCTGTTGGGCCTATTTAAAATAATGATATCTCTAATTACCACGTGAATAAATAATATGCCTCATCGAGATTACGCGTTTATTTTCATAAATTGGCGTAAATTCAAAATAATAAGGTTAAATAGCCAACTCTTTCGGGGAATTGACGCGGAAATTGGTGAAAACCGTGTATTTCCATAATGCGCTACAACGGTGAGTTAACTTTGGAAATCAGCTTTAGAATGTACCAAGTAAATGCTCAAAAGCCTTGATAATGGAACTGGTGCCTCTAAGCATCTCCGGTTTTGGGTTATTTCTTGAGGAAAAATTTATTTATTTATATCAAATGG